GTAACATTTAGGATGAGATGATGTTTGAGATGTTCTGATATTGGCAGTTTGTTTTAATTAGTGTATAATCACCTGAAAATAAGAATCGTGTTTTCATTACATTAGAAAGAGACATTTTTATCTATGCAGAGAGCAGGTCCTCTCCCATTGAGGCCTCCACGTTGAACCACCATGTTTCTACAGTAGCTCAGAAGGGACAAACCCCGTTTTGCGGCCCTCCTAGTTTCTTCTACATACTTGAAGGTTGAAATATGTTTTGCGGTTTGTTATTTGGCCAAAGATGGCTATTTGATAGTAAAGGTAGCTAACCCCTGTTCCAAGGTAAAATTATGAATGAAATACCTATAAATATTACTTTCTAATTCTGCCAATAGAGCCTCCTGTACACTGGGCCTTTAAAATATTAGTGATGCTATGAATTTAAAACATGTAATTAAGTCTACAGATAACTAAAATCAGAAGAGATTACACTTTCTTAGTCTTATGATATATATCAGCTGCATTAAAATGTTTCACCCCTAAATGAGACTAAATCCTACACACAAGTATTGATTTAGAATGCTGCGACACGAGTACTGACAGGAACTAGGAAAAGAGATCCTATTTCTCCTGTATTAGCTTCTCCGCACTGCCTTCCTGTAAAATTCACAACAGAATTTAAAAATCCTCCTCCTCCTCACCTACAAAGCTCTTCCTGGTCAGGCACATTCATATCATAAAGAGCTCATAGTGACCTATTACCACACTGCACTTTCAGTCTCTGTCTTTCTCTCTTTACCGCCCACCCCTCCCTCCTTTGTATCTGGATATTACTTGTGGTCTTCAAGTGGACAGTCCAGAATTGAGAATGTACTTTCAGATCATCTTCAAAATGTAAAATTCTTTTCTAATGGCTATATAAAATAGTGTTGAGTGTGTTTTGTGTTTTCAATACTTGATTGAGTTTCTGAAGTGGTCCTCTGCAGGATTTTTCACAGTACAGCTGTTGAGTAACCACAGGTCTGCTTCTGTTGGGTCATCTATAGAAAGAGAGAAATTTCATTCATTTTTACAGAATAGAATTACAAACATGACTTTATAAATAGAGAAAACCTTGATCTAACCAATCAACACATAATCAAATAATACAGGGATCAACAAAGCATAGGAAATCCTAAAAAAGCTAAACTAATTAATCGGTCTCTGGCACAGTTCTTTTGTGTCTGAAGCACGCAGTGGGTCAGCAAGTCCTCAAAAAGTCACACCCAGATGATCACACGCATATCTGCAATTTTAATTCAGTCTCCAAAATCGTCACATCTATTCAATGTTGTAAAAAAATTTACTTCTTTCAAAACTAAAACTTTGTTCCTTTACACAGAATAGCCTTTTAAGATCTTCTCAGTATTTAACTGTGTCTAATGAGTTTAAGATAATATGTAGGCATAGATATCACATTTGCATATTTGAAAAAAAGTTGTGGAGGCTCATTTAACATAATTAAATAAAATGTAATCTTACTGGATAACATTAACCCAAGTGCATCTTAAGGTTTATTGTAACTGTAACTTTCCTATACCTTGACTAAAATAAGCCAAATGTTTTAATGGTTTTGATTTATTCTATTTTTAACATGAAAATGCATTTACTGTAGCATTGCCAGCTGGTTTTTACAGGACAAGTGTAACTAAATCATACTAGTGGCATCTAGCGGTGAAGTTGCACATTGCAACTAACTGAACACTGCTCGAGTCTGTATTTGACAACCTGAGAATGAGAACGGGCTATAAAGTGTGCAGGAGGATCTATGGTGACCGTGGAGAATTCGAAAAAAACGCAAAAGGCCTTATCTGCAGCCAGTGTTTGGTTTGTCCATTCTGGGCTACTGTTAAAACATGGCAGTTCAACATGCTGGACTCCATGGGGGTGAACGTCGGAATCTGTAGATAATAACTGTTCATACTAAGGTAATGAAAACACAACAATTCCTATATTCAGGTGATTACACACACACTAATGAAAACATATCTATGTACATTATATTCCACTGAAAGCCAACAGGGCTTCCTAAATGTTACATACTTAATGTGCTTTGTAAATAAAGGTTTTTTTAGTATGTAGACCCTACCAAAAAGATCCCAATCAGGTCCTGGACATGCTCTAACAGAGTAAGGTCTACATGCTGGATTATAAAACTATAATCACTTTATAACCACTCAGGGTCCACTTACTACCTGAGCTTTCAACTGCACCTCACTGTTGCCTATCCTAGGGCCTCTATCCACCTAGATTTTGAATACAGAGAACCACTCATTGTTACTTGTTTGTAACTTGTAAGTTTGTAAACTTCTAACAAACACCTATGTTCACAATACTCAAAAACAGGCCTATTTTAACATTATGGGTTACTTAAACTAAGAAGGTTATTTAAATATTTATAATTGACACGTACACACACAAACACACACAGTGGTATGTTGCTCCTTGTGATGTTAAGCTAGGCTGCTGCTCAAGATGATGGTGGCAGGCTTTGCATGGCACTGCCAGGAGAGCTGTCACACACAAAGAGACACACGCTGAGGGGGATATGGCACGGCGATGGTGGGGAGCTAGACGCTTGCTCCTTTACGCCGCGCTGAACCAGATATTTCACTTAGAATACGCTTCCCTGCTGCAGTCAAGCATACACACACCCCACTCACACTGCATTTCCTGCATTAGTTAATTTGATACACACCCGCAGCACTTTTCTGTAACACACATAGCAGGGTCCCAGGATGCAGAGAATGGGAAGATTACCAACCACACCACACCTTGCCTTAGGTAAACTCTGCTTCTCCATCCCTCGCTCTCAAACACACACACACA